CATATTCCTTGTAGAGACGTTGGAAGTTATCCTTGAGCAGCAWAGTAGAATGATAGAGAAGAGTATGATTGTACTTTGGCTACATTTGTACTTTTCTCTATCATTCCTTTACACTTTTGTGTATAATTCCTTATATTGAAAATAATATTGCACTGAAAGCAGGTTCAATTCTTACTTTTTATTTACAATCGGAATCAGACATCTATATACACTTGATAAACTAAAAAGTTGAACTTATAATAGACTAAAGTGTCTATTTTTGTTTGATATTGGCCAAGTATGACATCCTGACATAGACACCTGTRCCCAGGCTTGTAAGATGGTACATGTAAGTGTCCATTAATGTATATAAGACAGTTTATCAAATTCTATCCAGTGACTCCATTGTAACAATGCTATTGCCTCTAATTACCTGGAAAACAAACAAGTGGTTTATTTACTAGTTGTTATAAAGATAAGAATCTTGATTTTTAGTGAAAGAAGATTACTACTCTAGGTGACAAGATATTGATGAAATATTGAAAGTATGAACACAACTTCAGATTGTTTTCATCAAACATGCAACATCAACCTTTTAAATGTTTAGTTTCTTAATAATATGATGGGCAATTGCATGAAAAAGGTATGACATACATTATGTATGTATAAAATAAGAGTCTTACCACCATTCCTATTACATGCTTTTCTGATCCTGATACTTCTTCTATAGTCTCATCAAGKACTAAATTCATAAATGGATCATAACCACGCAGAACTCCAGTTACATGTCGACCACCATTTAACTTTACTGCAATATAAGGTACAATATCTTATTATCATAAGGTTTTCCTTCCTGGCATGTGTCCAGAGAATGTTTGTATTTAGGGTGGATACTGCTATCTATTGGATAAATTCAGGGAGATGGAATATATCTTACAAAACCTATGGTGGGAAAAAATGAACTCAGTTGTCYTATCTTCAGGCCACAGGTAGCCCAAAGCCAGCTGATTTGATGATTTACAAGAGTAGWTTTGTCACCTTTGGATATTAGACATTATAGAACACTTACATGATAACTTTTTATCCATATACCTGAAATAGAACACAACAGTAGAGAGTGAGTAAAGTAAGACCTAAAGCTTCGAATGAGTTTGTTGTAAATTGACAGACTCTAAACAAGCTSCAATCYACRTTTCTGTGAACACATTTATCCTGGAAACTATAATCTACAGAATACTATAGTTTTTTATTCGTTGAATAGTTGTAAAATCTTCCTGAAGCCTTTGTTCAGCGATGATTTATGAATATGCTCAAAAGAGAACGTCAAATATGAGCTACAAGTTTCTACACCATCTCTTSACAAACTTGAAAAAGAAWAACAGTAATAGACACAGCAACTATTGCGATGTTACTTACTTCTTTAACTCTGGTGGATGGGCTTTACTCATGATGAATTTAGTGGATTCTTTTGCAAACTTTTCWCCGTAAACACAACAGCACTAACGTTTTCTAGACGAAGTGAGTCCGCGCTGCATTTATCAGCGTACATTATAACACAGGGATACCAATTTGGATGAATCCAAGTCTTTCGCTTTTGAATTTAGCCTTGGAGAACTTAGCATAAATAAAATAAATAGTATCATAAAAAAAACAATAATCAAAATTATATATATATCTTTAAATTTTCTGCTTAGAAAATTTTAAAAATTTCAATCTGATTTTATAGTAGTTACCAGTTTCCTTCGTGTTCCGTATTCAAGATGGCGGATAAGAGTACTCGCAAGAATGTTTGTGTTAGAATTGTCAAGCGTTCTATATTAGAGTCGTCAGTTAGAAGTGATGTGGGTATTYTAAGAACTTTGATTTCTTKTGAATCAAGGAAATTCCACAAAACATGGTCCAAGACTTCCAAAAATCCAATAGGTTTTGATAATCAACATTTGTTCTTTGACAAATTTCGCACTGTTTTTCACACAAATGGATCAAAAGGCAAACCGTTTCTGCTTTATAAACTTCCTTCTTTGCACAGAAAAGAAAAGATAGAGTCAGCAGTTATATTTGAAACACCTTTGGATCAGAATTCATGGATGGGTTGTAGAAACGAAAGGAGTTTTGCACCTTGTCTGTTTGGTGTAAGTGGTTCAGGATATCTTGTACGTCAAGACATCRCCTCTGGTGAAATCTTGCAGTCTGTGTACTTGGGGAAGAGCTACAAGTTTAAACATRTTTTCTGGGAAACCGATCTGTGCAGAATTGCAATAACATCTGTTCACAGAACAATCCCGCCCAGGGCAATTCAAGACAACAGGTCTAGTGTGTTTCYTATTCTTATGCACATTGCAGTATTTGACGTGGCACCTCTGAGGTTCTTAGCATTGATACCAATAAGCAAGGATGTATTTGGAATTGATGTTATTGATGCATCACTGAATCATGGAATACTCTTCACCATGAATCGAGGAGGAGGAATGAAGTTATTTAGTTTGGTAGAAATTCTGGAGGATTTTTCCAGAAAAGCAACTCTTGGTGAATCATACAACTTTGGGGTAAATGACCAGGAAAATAACGGTATTGTTGGACAGCCACCCTATGGACTTCCAGTGAATACAAGATTTGAAAGACAACCACAACTTCTTTTTCAAGTCACTAGTGAGCATCACTTTCTTTCCTTTGGGGGGTACCCATGGCATTACATTGCAAGTCCCAAAGGGTGCAACAGTGTTTTTCAAGTGTTCAATATCGGAAGTCAAACATGTGTCAAAAATGGTCTTCTCAAAAGCAGTGTTCAATCAATTGAACAAGATCATGCCATATTCCATGCTGATTGCAGTGGRYGCATTTTGCATGTTGGCGCTGATTTTGTGAGGTATTAGACTTTAGCATTCCTCTCTTTTCATCATTATTGCCTATGTTGGTCAAGTATTTTATTATGCACCTTACCTCTTTCGTTTTACTACTTCTGAAAGTGAAATGTTTTTTTTTTCAGCTACTACAAGGTGTCTCAGTTGAGTTTTGAACAAGGAAATCAAATGCAACAGTTCGAGTTAAAACCTTGTCATAGGATATCAGTAAAATCAATGGGCATGGCTAATGATAATGCTACTACATTTACTTCATCTGGAAGGAAGGTCAAGAGTAATAAAATCAATAATGAAGCTAACAGTGAATATGAAACTGTAAGAGATTTTGACTATGAAGATGAACTAGACTTGTTAGTTGTGTTGTCGTCACAAGGTCCAGGTGCAGGACACATTGGTCTCTATGACAATCAAACTGGTCTCTTAGTGAATGAGATARCACTTTCTTCCTGGGACGAGGATAGTGATCATTCAATCCTTATGGAGAGAGATGTTATTGTACATATATCAAAAAATATGTCCAGAAAGTTTCATTGTGATATTTTTAGATTGACTGATTTGTCAAAATAATGATTATTCTTACAAAAAAATAGAATTCACAATGTTATATTCATGAACTGTTGGTTAGTTTTATAGTAAAAAAGGTTTGTCTTGAGTGGGAGGGAGAGATTTTGGTGGGTGTTGGGGTGAGCTAGGAGAATCAAAAAGAAGATAAGACACGTCCCCTGTCTCCAAGGTCCCTGTGCTTGCAATTGTGAATTATGAATTTTGCAAGGCATGTCAGAAAAGGCATTTTTTGTATCTTGAATATTGAAAACTCTAGCCAGTGTCTTTTCCTGCTTATTTTTTATTTGTACCTGTTTGGCTTTTGACCTAATACAAACCTGTAGCTCAATTGCCTTTTCACAGTCAGATTCAAAATAGCAGACRCASCAGAAATGATACAAAAATGTCATTATTCAAAACAAACTTAGCGTCKAATGAATCATTGGTTGTTGTTTTTGTGGTCAACCTTTTGGYAACTTAATAACTTTTTAATATTAAAATATTTTGATATCACATTTTCCATCATACATGTTTCATAACTTGAATATTTCAATGCTTTAAAATTTGATTTTCAAACTGATCCTTGAAGAAGAAAACCTTTTTGCACGTCATTGGAGAAAATAGTTTGGGTTTCCTGTGTTTACTAAAATAATAYTTCCGCCGGAAGTAAAATGATATCATGATTTTTCGAGATTATTGATCAGTCAGATCGCATGATTCCCTTGTTAAAAGTAGACAGGCAATGTTTTATCTGCGAGAGCTTTATCTTTCGTATTCCCACGCAAAGGGATCCTTTTCCTGGGGCTTATATGTAAAGCGTTTTCGTGGTCCAATCAGGGAGTGCCTTTGTTTTCGTCGATCGACCACTAAAATAAAGTTGACGTGAAAATTCCACATTATAGACGTCATCATTTTGAATTTGCATACATGAAGTCACACTCTGGCGTAAGTGAATAGGTTTGATGCCATGTGAGGCTGCCTCTGTTTTCTTTCGAAATTTCTCTCCAAAATAAGATGTTTTTCTTCTATTAGWGGATATTTACAAACTTAACGATTTGAGAGTTATTATTCAAGATTGTTTTCAGCTGGTAAGTCGAATATTTTGGTGGTTTTTGGATGGTATGTGCTCATGTATGTGTGTGAATTTATGATGTCATGTCGTCAAATGACCTCCGGTTGTGAAATTATCTTCAAAACTGCCAGCACTTAAAACTGTATATTCAAGATCCTTGTTGTCTCACAGACAAAATATTAATGTTTAGCCTTGAACTATGTATTTTATATTAGAGTTTGTACGATAATTSAGCTCTSTAGGGCAACAAAAGGATGCTTTCTTTGTAAACTTTGATCAGACCTATAGATCGCACTAATGGCGCGAGCTCTTGCAAACATTTCCTCGTTTATCCGTTCCATTTCTGTAATATTTCCAAAGCAGTGTGGTATCCTTTGTCTCGCTTAGTTTAGAAATCATCCTTGAAAGTGTTAATGTAYAGTTTAACCGTATTCCTGGATGTATTCATATAGAAAAGCTACATGTACAATTATGCGGGCTCGATGAATTAGGCCATAATTCGTTTGCTTAGTTGTGTTTTCTGTGTGTGAATTASTAATCTATGCTAAGACATCCACAAAGAAGTTAGCGGTCAACGGTAAACTGTATTTCCGTTCTGTGAATTATCGTTTATTTGAGGTAATTTTATTAGCTCACACTAATCGAGATATAAACTCGTCTTCACTAGAACAACACGTGTTTAGACGATTTATATTTTGCATCTAGTAAGGTTGAGGCCCTTCKATTTCCAATTAATCTTTTATGGTGTAGAGTGTCAACTTTTGCTCAAGTATTCTGGGTTTTCTAGTAGCTTTTGTGGCGAACCAAGAACTATCGAGACTTTGAAGAAGATTCAACGATTGATATTTCTTATCTCTCTTAGAGATTTTGATAATACTTACCGATTTTTAATGCGTCTATTTTGGATTATCATTGAAATGTACATGGAATTTGTTTGCCATCATAAGACATCTTTTTATAGACTTTTATGTCCAAAATATGCTCGTCAACAAGTGAAGCGCAATTCCGTTAATATAAGATAGTTTCTAGACCCACTAAGAGTCAAGAGTTCCAACAACACAACACTAGGCAAAAATCAGTGTAGCATGTACTTAATTCAACATTAAAATTATTATTTTAGTTTTGTTCTGTATCGTATAGTTCATAAGATGAAGATTTTCTTTATAGGTTTTGCTCGCCAAAAAATCCTGTCCTTTGCCTCCTTGTGACACTTGAACACTTGAAAATTTTAGATTTCTATAAATAGTACTGTCAACTTGTTCGCATAGTCTTTGTTTTCCATAATGTGGTCAGTTTTATAATCCTATTGTTCTTGTGTAGGTCTTGTTGTCCCTTCAAATATTTTGTTATAATAGTGGTAAAGCCCACCAAAATTCTTTATTTGTTTACATTTGACTTCACAGTTTTGTGTCAAATGTAATTTTTTTCAACATAACGTTTATGCTTTGCAGGAAGTTTTTTCCATAAAGTAAACCTGTGTTATTTACTATTTGAAAAGTGGGGTGTTCTTTTCATTTACTTTTTTTCAGTTCATTTTGCATATCAGTTTACAACATCCGCTATCAATGATACTTGCAAAGAAGTTTTTGTTTTTCTCTTTCAAATTGATATCTCATTATCAAGATTTTGCTCTCAATTGACAAAATAAGCTCAGTTATTGTATTAATTTTAATAGAGATAACATAGTTTTCATTCCAGTCCTAGAGTGCTGTTGGTAATGCTATATTTTCATTTATTTGGCAAAAGTGTAAACAAAGCAAGTCTATAGTCAAGATGCACAATAAATGATGCATATTGATGGTAATCTGATATTTAATAAGCAAAATGATRTTTGAATATATTACTCATTTTTAATGTGTATATATGCATGCTTAATTGTATATGAAAAACTTGTGCACACTGGTAATTATGAGAAGAAAATGTTTGTTGTTTTAAAGAATATCATTTTTTCAGATTCAAACACATATGGTAGGAACAATACTTAAAATGATTGCGTCTCGGAACATCAATGAAAATCCTCATGATGAGAGCAAAGCACTCCCTAGAAGAAGCCCAATTCAAGCAAGTATTGATCAAGTTGATAATGAAACAAGTCAAAACATGAATTCTGACTATAAAGAAGATGGGATGCCCATTAGAATTCCACAAAATGGTGGAACTGATGACCAAAGTGCATCCACATATGAAGATGATGATATTGATGGTGATGTCACAGATAGTAACAGGTACGCAGTATTTTTAATTGGTCTCTGTTTATGTGATTATAATCATTGATGCCCATTCCAACACATAGATTATATTCTCTGGTAATCATTGATGGACTGATGGATGTCAGAACCAATGTCACACTCAACACTTCGCCATGACATAGGTTCTCCGTAACATCCATCCAGAAAACTCAGGATGGTTGTGGGTTCAGTCTACATGTAATAATCTAGAGTTATCCTGTTACTATAATGTTATCTACTCCGTAGATTGTCTTTTATCTACTCTGTAGTGTGACAAAAGACCAAAACACTCCTCTAAACCAGCAAACATAGGACATTAAAACAACCTTCTATAGACTTTTTCAAGTAGGATGATTTGAATATAATTGTGATGTGGTGGTGATAACCAGATTATTAACTATGGTTAATATTTATTAGAACTTTTTTGTCTGATATTTAATATATAATATGTAATTTGTGTGCTTTTTTGTGTTGATCAGCATTTTAAAAAAGGTAATTTTAGTGCGAGAAAAAGATCACTTTCTTGATAAATACTGACATCATTTTCTGTTAAAATCACCTTTACATGTAATATTCCCAATTTATTTATTTGTTGAATACTTCTTTTATTGTAAAATTGAAGTACAAGAAAGAATTACAATTTGTATATTGATCGATTTATGTTGCTGTACATTAAATGACAGGTATTTTACATTTTTTATGCTGATTTTAAAAACAATCTTGAGATATTTTGCTGCCTTTATTGTCCAATAGAAAAGCAGTCCTTTTGCACCACAATCATGTTAAATGAAAAGTGAAGCTTCTAATATTATTATTTCCTGAAATAGCTTGGACTGTTGTCTCACATGAAGGCAAACACATTAACTTATGCCATCTACAGAAATTAGTCTTTRCATGAATTTAAAGCTGAACATACCAGAATTAGTTCTTAATCACCTTAACAACCAAAGCAATGTCAGAGAGTTTAATATTGCAAAATACCTAATCATTTTGCACTTTTGAAATAATAAGTTCTTTGACAATGTTCTTATTGTTAAAATTTGTTGCACTTTAATGGTATGCTTTGATATACTATTCATTAAAAAAATGGCATGACCTTTGCTATTTACTAGATTACTGTATATTCAAAGACAAGCCACCAGGAAATTTGCCTTCATCTAAATCATGCATGTTAAAAATAAAAATCAAAAAAATAAAATCCACCCTTCATTTGTATAATCTTGTACTGTTGTCTAAAGCTTCTTCAATCTAAAACATTTTGCTTTTCAAATACACCACAATAGTATCAATCATTGAATTTTTGAAGCTATAAAATGTACATCATGTAAAATATTAGCAAAATCATGAAATCACTGAGGTTTACACATTTATTCATTAGTTAAATGTTTTAATTATTTGTTTTTTTCTATTCTACAGTGGTGCGTTTCAGTGTTCTTGCAAGGTGTGGTCCTGTACCCAGTGTCAGAAGGCATTYAGCTCAGCGCGTGCACTCAAGATTCACGAAGTAAAGCAACATGAAAACATGCCAAAACGGTACATAAAATGTACCCATTGCGATGAAGTATTTGATCACAGCAACCTTCTGCAGATTCACATGAAAGTACATCATAATATCAAAGTGCAGTGTTCTCAGTGTAAAGACGTTCCCAAAACTAACAACTCAAAAGTACACCAAGCTGAGCCTATGTGCCCTGTATGCGGCGTCAAATTTGATCACGATAAACTCTTAAAACTCCATATGGAACACTACCATAAGGTGTCCAGGAAGGAGTCGGTACCTACTGAGCAGCAGACATTCCAACCATCTTCTACTCTGCTGTCACCCAATTCCAAGACACAGGATTCCAGAACACTAAGTCCAGATTCAAGAAAACAAACTCCTAGTCCACGGCAGATGGAAGGTCGCTTCTCTCGTTCATACTACGACACTAATAGCGACGATTCCAACTCAAGAAGTAGTGTTTCTCCACGAGAAATTCATGGCGATCGTGAGCTTGGTGATCGTAAAGAAATGTTTGATCAACGGCTAAACAGTGGTCTTTATTCACCACGCCATCTTCTTACAGTTCCTCGTAGTTCGTATTATCTTCCCGTTCCTCAGGATAATGGTTCTTTACCGTATGGCTTGATGGGTTATTATCCACAGGGTGTCAGACGCAGTATTGAAAAAAGACCTTTGGGTCGAAGTCATAGTTTACCATTAAAACAAGAGACTGTATATCCAGACGTCCCCTTAATGCCGTGGCAAGTGCCAGATGCAGGTTATCCTGTAATGTATGGGATGCCGCCMAGAGAAAGGAAATTGGACAGGGCAGCTCTGGAGGCCATGCGCAATAGTTTGAAGGCAAAACTAAGGAGYGTGGAAGAGACTCTTCTCAGAGAAGAAACTGAATCTCACCAGCCTTTGAGTCCCACGCTTCACGACCTCTACGACAACCAAAGATAYTTTCGGGGAAGAGAGGAAGATGTTGTTTATCACTATCGACCGTCCGTTATCACTCCTAGAAGCTCATTTGGAGCAGTGCCTTTCAAACGTCAAGCTCCACCGAGTGACCTCGAGCCAACTGAAAAAATGCGAGCTATAGAMCAAGCTAACGACATTTCGCGTAGTCCAAGTCGCAGTCCCAGTCGACCTGTGGCTTCCTTCAGTCCTCTAGCCAGAGAAAGTGGAATCCCAAGAATTTATGAGCCTCGGGATGTCCCCAGAGTTTCAAGAGATGACCTTGCTATTCCTAATCTACAGAGAGAATACTTTGATAACCAAGCTAAGATCTTCATCAAGAGAGGTGCTCCAAGGTGCAATCGTTGTCAGCAGACGTTCAGCTCCAAGATGGAATACCTTCATCACTTGATATCTCACAGAGAAAAAGACGGACTTGTGGACGCATCTCCAGAAGAGATGGAATTCATAGAAGATGTTAAACGTAGTATRGATAATAAAAACTTTGCTGCGAAAGAAATGATCGACAATCGATACAGCGCAACTTCCACAAACACATCGGCAAGTCCTTCACCAGACGATAAAAGTTCTGTGGAAGCTCGCGAAAAAGACGCAGAGGCAAAACAGGAGAGCTTATCGGAAGATAATTCTTCAGCTGCAAACTCCACCTCTCTACCTGCAGGGACTGAATGTATAGAGTGTAAAGACGTGTTTGTTGACTCGGCATCGTATCAGAGCCATGTTGAAAAGAGACACATGAAACCACGGTGTCGTGAATGTGGGTTGACTTTCGACCACAAGAATCTTCTTAAGATCCACATGGATTGCTATCATAGCAGTGTAGAGGTCTTGCAGTGTTACTACTGTGGTATGTCATTCAAACATCGCGTTGCTTTCCTTGATCACGTGACATCGCATGAATCCCAGGACATCAGCAACAACGAACGAGTGAATGAGCAAAGTAGTGACACTARTGAACAAGGAGGACGTCGCCGATGGGGAAGACTTGTCGCTTCTGCGCAATTACCAGCTGAGAAGTCAGATGTACGTGACGGGGAGCATGCTGGTGTTGATGAAAGACCAGGAGTTCGAGATGTGCTAGCTTTGAAAAGTCACACAAAGCAAAAACTACGAAAAACTGTCTCTCTTTCCGCCTACACTGATATGATTAATAGACAGAAGAGGAGTCATGCACAGTTCCTTCACGAGACGCGTTCAAAGGGAGATGAAGCAATCGGCAAAGAAATGCGMACTAGGATCTTTTTGCCGAATTTTGAAGACAAGATGGAAAATCTGTCGAGGTTTGCGTCGTCATCAGTCCAGCTAGCTAAGAAGAGAGTATCGCCTCCACCTCAAGAAAAAACAGTTCAAGGCAATGGTGATTACATGTTCCGTAKACATAACCTCCCTCCATCAGGTCAGGAAGTCGAAAGACCGTCTTATCACGGCGAAGCAAGAACCGCATATACTACCAACGACGGAAAACCATTTCCGTATGTCCAGAAAAGGAAACTCGAGCGATTGAAGAGAAGTGCTCCAGTCGAAGAGGACATGAAGGCCCAAGTCGAGGCTCGACTTGGTGTTCCGCTCAGGAAGGCATTTGTGAGGGACGAGGTGGAAAACCTGTACCAAATGAGACACAAAAAGGCATATCATAGTACTGAGTTGTCAAACAGCCCAGTATCTGATCCGATAGATCATAGAAATGCTCTGGTGAAGATTGAAAGAGTAGAAGTGGACCCTGTTTCAAGGAATACAGCCACACATGAACCAGATGCCAGCAACATAGAGGAACGCAAACACAGCCCAGCATTGCAACAACATACGGCGGGTATTTCAGATAGTGGAGATAATGTGACCATTGAAAATAACAGCGCAACAAAGGTTGTTCAGCCCACTGTAAGCACCGTTGCACCGCCGCCGCTCATTGACGTCAGACGTAGTACTCAAGCCTCCACTGTTACCTCGGCCACCGAATCAAAGAGGTCATCGAGCAGACCCGAATCACCTTGTGTATCTCCGAATAATATCGATAGCAAAACGAAACTTGATACGAGCTCATCGACGTCTCTAACCGGCGAATGGAGTGACAAGGAAGTAAAAGGAAAACGTCGAAACAGCATTAAAAGACTTACCAAAGAAGCTTTGATCAATTCACTGTCACTCAAACGTCGATCAAGCGCTCCTGACTTGTACCAGTTCCATCGTGAACAATCAACTGAAAACACGCAGGACGAGAAGACTAAGAACACTGTTAAACATGATACCAGTCCAGGAAGTCCAAGTACAGGAAGTGAGAGAACTGCCAGTCCTTCTATTGACACTAAGCATCATGGTTCAAGGTCATTGTATTACACTCCAAGAAAACAATCCGATCGTGATGTCACGTGCGTTCAGTGTGGAGTTAGTTTTGGACATAAAAAACTTTATAAAATCCACCTAGACTCTTATCATGGCAAACAAGCTGAACATGAGTGCTTGCAATGCGGAGCAAGGAACTTTCAGAATAAGGATGAATTCGTGAAGCATTTGATGGCTCATCAAAACGAGGGGAAAGTCAGCGATGTTTTGACCTACCAGGAAACTTCTAYCGACAAGGAACCTGACTTTCATCAAACCATGAACAATGATGTTAACTATGAACTCAATCCAAAGATACGAAAATTAAAAGCCAGTTTAAGTGAAAGGGGCGAAATCACGTCGTCTGACGAAGAGAAATCCCATTTTTCTCCACAAGCTCMCAGCAGTGAGCAGTCAAATGATAACGTWAAGGCCAACAACAATGCAAAAGAAACGATTGATAAGAAAATCACTTGCCTACTATGCGGTAAAGTGTTTGAAAATGGAAAACAACTGGAACAACACTTTTCATCCCATGCAATGATAAGCGAAGATGGACGTTTCTGTTGCGTCATTTGTAACAAGCCATTTGAGACTCTGCGTAAGCTTGAAGTTCATTCACGCAGTCACACAGGTTTTAAACCTCACAAATGTGAACAATGCGGCCGCTGTTTCCCCTATTACAGCTCTTACTATTATCATAAAATGACGCACACCAAGGATCGACCACACAAGTGTCCCGTTTGTGGAAAAGGATTCATCCAAACGCGTTATTTACGTTCTCACCTCGCAACACATAAAGATGAACAAGGCTCGATGAGCGATGAAGTAGAAAGTATCATCAGGAAGGCAGAGCTTACTATGAACGACGAAACAGATGAAGAAAGCATAGACAGTCCTGGGACAGCTGAGAGTTCGCCAGGGTATCGGGCCAACGACGAAGAAACGGCCACTGCAGAGATTCTCTGTAGTTTTAAGCGAGGATTGAACTGTAGTGCRCAGAACTCTGATTCAGAACAATCTCCAGCAATWCCACTTTCTTGTACATCAGTAGATGATTAGAATACAGCACATATGTAAATAATCAACATGTAGTGCATGAGTTTTTACAGCACTTTGTCTTGGCAAAACCAAATTGTACATTTTCTGTAAACAGGRTATGTTGAGTGTATTTCTCTTCAATAGAAAATTTAGAAACAAAACTTGAAAATACAATGAAAATAAAAATGTAAAAGATGTTTTGTTTGTGTATTTCTGTTTTCAGTCAAACATTTTGATTGTTTCTTTCACTTTCTTTCTCAYGTTGTAGTTAGGCCAGCATTGCAAAGATGCTCCCCCAAGCTCAGCACATAAGGTCTTCGTGTCAATAGGGCTGTGCAGAGTCATGYATGTTTTTGCACAAGCAAAACTGCTGGTAATATAGTGTTATGATTAATTGGAATCATTTGTCGCAAAAAAAGAACAAGAAAACAATGATACTAACAGGCGGATCAATAATATAAACATTTTATTTGATTTAAGAATTACACATTAAAATCAATAAAAATATGAATTATACTAAAAATGKGAAGAACTTGGCCACTACACTTTTTCCAGAGYGATGCCAAAGTTTGCCATTTCATCATCCTTTAACATCTTGAGGCACTGGAAGATAAAAAAATGTTAATATTCTATCATGAAGATGAAGGAACACCACTACATGTGGTATGATCGCAATACCTTTTCATTGGCCAGATGTAGGATGCAGACAAAGGCAATAGGAATAGACAGGTTCTTAGTCATGTTTTTTGATATCAAAGRTGGTAGYTGCTCATAWACATCTTTGAATGATTTAGTATTGTCTTGTTCATGTTCTTCTAAGTCGGGCTCTTCACTGGCTTCATTGGCCATATTTTCCTATGAATTGGACACAGTGTAATTATGCATATTTTGATTACCATTATCATCTGACTTTTTTTATCCAGTCAAAACCATTCGAGACAAACTGCTGGGAAATTATCAACAATCTAGCAAAGAATGATTTAATGTTCCAGCTTTGGAGTTTGKTTGTATGGAAAACCAAATCATAAATTTCCCTACAATGATTATCTTCTGTCRTTGATACCTTATGAGGGTTCTCTTTGGTAAGCAAGCCCCACATGGCAGCTTTGAGTTTCTTGACATCCATTTTCTTTGCAGTCTTGGAATAACAAATGTCAATTTTTGCTACCTAGAATAATACAATCACAATTAGTGGAGTGTTCTTGCTGACAAAATCTTGCCAGAAATTAACCAGGTTTCCATCATGTGGCCTTACTTTGTTTGGTTGGRCTACTAATCCATCTCCAGCAAACATAGTGAGGTCCATTGCAGTCTCATTAGAGAAACTTAGACCTTGTGAGGAATTAGTTATGTCATATGTCATATCTGGATTAACCCCCTCTGTACATGTCATATCTTGACCTTCATTAGCGGCATCTCCTGGATGGTCATCATCGTCGTCCTGTAGAAACAGACATGATTGACATGTAATCTTGAGTGACATGTAATCATCATGAGTGACAAGTAGTCATCATGGGTGACAGGTAGTCATCATTATTGACATGCAATCATGAGTGACAAGTAGTCATCACAGTTGACATATTTGAAATCATCATATCACGACTGACACATAATCGTGATTTGATTCTGCAATATTTTACCTGAAGGTCAGGGCAGAAGTTAGCGGCATCATTAGCATTGTTGTAATTATACCATTCTGAACCTAAAACAAATTCAAACATTATTTTGAAATGTTTAATTATCACTTCTTTTTGAGGTAAAATGTAGATAAACAGTCAATTAATTAATAATCATACCATCATCAGCAACCTCAGTTTGTTGAGCTTGTCTTCTTACCTGAAGATTGACAACAAACGATACGTCAAATGAATCAATCATTCAATCAGTGAATTATGTAATCAGAAAGTCATAAATCAATAAATTAACCACTAAAGAACCAAATTAACAAATCAGCSAACWAGATCAGCTAACTTTAATTCCATCCAGTAGCAAWTCAATGAGATCTCACCAGTATCTTGGGTTTTGTAAATAGCCTGAACAAGTTGTCAGCATTGTAATGAAGATCTTCTGGAAGAGTAGTTCTCAAAGATGACATATTTTGTAAAGTTGATTTAGCAAGTGTAGTTGAAGCCTAAAAAYAATAGAATTGTTTACTAATGATATTAATTCAAGTAGATGTAAAAGTGCACARGACATACTGACCCTTCCTTTGGAGAAGTATTGTTTGATGTCCAGTTCCTTGTCAAAGTCTATTTTAAATGGTTCTTTCCTTGCTTTCTTCTTCTTAGTGTCTTGATCTTGGGATGATGTTGAAGTTGTGATACCAGCCACTAAATATAGGTAATATGTAATTATTATTCTCAATAAGCATACACTTTGCCATAGAAGTGCCACACAGTGTTCTCTWCCGTTTAAGGACAGTAAATAAGATGCCTGCAACATCTACTATTTCATGACGTTCCATGCATGATTATTTAGTTCTGATGTGCATGATAAGGTTTAGCTTACATTTTGATAGTCTGGCCTTCATTTTCCAGTGTTCTGGTCCTGCCCATGTTGCAAGTACACTTGACTTGAAGTAAGAATACTCATTGGGTTTCTCAGACAGCTCTAAACACAGACTTCCTAGTGTATTTGCTGTGGATCTAATAACAGAAAGCAAAATAATATTGTTACAAGACGATAAGTAAATGAGCAAACAATGATTATATTAGTTGCAAACTAAGGAAAGATGTGATTTAGAGAAGGTTTTTTAAAAGGAACTTAGGAGGTCAGTCGGTAGGAAATTGGCAAATGAGGAATCAAGACAAGCCAGGGAAATGAAACAAAAAATTAAGAAGAGTATGGGAAGTATATCAAGGGAGGCATTTACAGTGTATAAAGGGAGAAKGAAGAAAGCCAATATCACCTTGGATCTTGACTATTAATAAGTCTTGCTTCTTGTCCATCTGCAAATGCCAGGGTTGCATTAGCTAAACTATATGCTGCTGGARTGCCACCGTTSACTGCTTCGCAACCATCATGACCATACTCAATATCCTAGATAAATCACAAAATACGTAACTAGCAACCAAAATATTAATAAATTAATAACTCAAAGTGACTGGTTAACCTTTGATCTTGTTACAATTTAAGTAAACAAAAGATATATGTTACCTCTCCCATGTCAGGCATGTCTTCATCGCTATAATCTCCAGCCACAGGCTCTGGGTATTCAACTTCTGTAGCTGAAAAATGTCAACAAATACACTAATTAAACAAAATCAGTTCAGTTGTTCCAAACTGAATGGCTACTCTTTCTATTCAAATTGGTCCATAACCTTAATCTTATTGACATGCATATACAAGACTGAGAAAGGCAATAAAAAAAAATAAAAAAAAAAAATGCAATTTTACCTGGAGCATCAACATCAAAGGCATGCTCATCATTTTTGTACTTGGAGATAATGCTGTTGATAGCATTGTTACCCTGAAAAAAAAAGTACCGGTACTCTCTATTATTGAATTCTCTATGGTTTTATSTAATCTTAAAAAGGAGAATTTTGAATTTGATTCCAATTCAATTTATTTGAGACATACCTCATCATTCTTATTCCAGTTGGTGAATTCAAACTCACTGAAATATGGGCAAATCTGATATGCTTCAAAATTGACATTACTGTATGCTTCTGAAAAACCAAACCAAACTGACAATCAGTATATCATTTGATAAATTACACTTAAGCAATCMATCCAAACATCAATCTGTAATYTTTCTTAAGTTAATGATCCAACATTCATTCGACCAACACATCAAATTGTGATCTTTCTTTGATAAACAATAAGCCAATTCATCAATCAATCYCCACCACCATGTTACCTCTAAGCTCTGACAAATCAACCATATTAGCATCTTGTGAAGTTTGTCCTTGTGTGGTTGAGTCTCTAGTTGTCATGGCTAYAGCATTAGAGTCAAGAAGAATTTCACAAGTGTCATCACGGACGAACAGGTTRTTCATCAAAAGTCCCACTGTACCGCCCTCATCAAAYGCCGCTGATGTTTTATGAAACAAGGGATCCACCTATTATAAAGACAAGTATTACTACCAGAATTGCATCATGGTTAAAATAGAACCTTTGGAACACAGTATAAATTATAGAACATGACATAAATGCAATGAATGCTTGCTTGGGATCTCTACRACAATGTTAGAGTTCCAGTTTGTCACATGAGCATGTAAAAGGTATGGCATGACCATGGCATGTGCTATTCATGCCATGATCCAAGCATATGAAGTCTGCTCTAAGACAGACTTTGCTCTGACAACACAACAAACAAATTCGTTTAAATAAGAGACACAGGTGACCAAGAAGAACCTAAGTATGCTAATGATTTATAATTACATGTTTGTTCATTCTTGCACCATAAATCTACCTTACCTCAAACTCTAGGTCAAATTGATTAACATTCAGATTTTTAATGTTGGTTTCAATGGTGTTTCCTGGTTTGGAGTGRGCCTAAAAACAAATTACACATAACACAAAAGTGATWAGAAAAAGGTAGGGGTGCTCTATTGCCTTCTTCTAACAGAGTCCCCTCATCCACCCCTCTGTGTGATGTTCTTGATTCTTACCTTTCTTGTTCTCTGTTTTCCACCAGGTACATCATCAGCTGCATTTTCACCTTGATTCTCTTCAAGGGAAGTGAAAATAATTGTAAAAACACAAGCAAATACAAACACCTCAACCTGGACTTAGGGGCTGCYTTGTTACTCTGAGAAAAAAGTCTCTAGATTTATTAAAGTATTCTTCTCTGCTAGTAGGGTATCTGGCCCAGTTTCCCTTGGAGAATTCTTACCCTGATCGTTCTCTGTCCGTCCTAGACCACTTAACATCTTATAAGCTTGASTATGGATTGAATCTACTCTTCCTGCGTAAATCTTTGCACTAGCATCCAATGTACAGCTCGCCACTTGGAAGTTGGTCATTTCCCCTTCCTTCACAGTCTTGATAAGGTCTTGCATGTAATCGATTAGATGCAATCCAAACGCGTTTTTGGAATTGATTTTCTATAGCCATATTAGATAATAATYAATTCTTTACTGATTTATACAGGATATTCTATAAGATAAATTGAGGCTAGAGGCTGAGACCCAGGTAAGTTTTATGTGTAAAACAGGTGTTTTCTATAAGCTTAACTTTCAGAAATTGTGGGAAAATAGGGCATACATTTGGTCGAATGTGAACATCATATTGAAGAATAATGCAAGACCGGGTAAAATTACTCACATTTTCSGTTGATAACTTGATGCAGTTCGAGTACAAGTCCTTGAGCTGTAAATTTGATAATCCACTTTTGGTGGTCATATTCCTAAAGAACCGACGTTAAAAGTGGCGCTAAATGTTCCAAATACACAAAATATGCAAATCATAACTTGTCAATTTAATTTTTACATAATCAGTATTCTTTTTACCGTTCACTGTCCAAACGACTTTGGGTTCTTGGAGTACCAGTGGCAGGGCTTGAAAGAGCAACACTTGTAACACGGGACAATCTTCTCTGTCTCTTTTCTGCAGCATCATCATTTAACGTCAAATCATTTAATGGAGTATTGTTACTAATCAGAGCTAAAGGACGACGACGCCGAGTAGCAGGAGAGGCTGTATCAGGCGYTCGAAACACTGGAGTGAAAACTTCAACGGCAGCCGCCATGTTGATTTTCGTAAACGGACGATCACTAAGAATTACAGCAAAGATATAAGCTTATTTATATCTTGACAAAAATAATCTTAAACCAACTGCAAACACGCAAAGAATAAATAATCTAAGATATTATCACTAGACGAAATGTACAACGATCGATGTTCTAGCAGACAAAAACATAATTTGATTCTTGGCGCTCAAAACGTTTGCTTTGKTCACGTGATCGTATACATACTGTTGGGGGAGGGGTAGCCTGGGAAAAGAACAAAAAAATAAAGTTAAAGGACACTTTTTTAGATACATGTAATTATTCCTGTTAAAAGTTTTTTTTAGAATTTTTAGAACTATATTTGGAGATCTTCTATTAATATTATTATCATTATTTTAGAGTCAATTGTGTCTTACCCCCTCCCCCATAGTACTTGTAACCTTAGTGACACTTGATGGTCTTCGTGTATGTTCACATTGTTCATTTCAGCTGTTTTGATGGCTGCATTTTTGACTGCAAACCGATGGTCCTCAGGTATAGGAACCCATAAGACAAGAGAAGGTAGAATTTTATGTACTGGGGTAGGCTGTTTAGGCTGTTTTCCTGACACTAATCAGAAAGAGGCTGACGAACTTGGAGTATGTGATGTTGACTTGAACGGAAATCCATTCAGACCATGGCTGAATGATGATTACGCTGTTGCTAAGCACTCGAGCTCAAGAAAACCGAGTAAGCAACATTATACAGGGAATTCAACGAGCGAACATGGACAGTTAAAAACAAGGTTTAATAGATTATCACACTCTCAAGGTGTCGATGATAAGGTGAGTGGTGTTCTTCGAAGTGTTGGGACGCAAACTCCAGAACACAACAACGAAGATATTGTCTCAAAYGCTAGAGGTCTATCAAAAGAAACACAAAAAGTCTTAAACTCTATGATAGCTCATGATTCTCAACGGGTTGAATACCAGGCTCACTCCAAGCACAGTACAATCTGCCAAGGATCACAAAAGTGTGAATTGGAAAATACAATAGACTCCTTGAATGCTAATAATCACAACAGTTCATTTGCTGATCAAGTAGAAAGGAATGTAAACAAGACGGCTCTCATCTTGGATAATCTTTACCTTATGCCTAAAAAAGACGCAGCGCTCAATCCTCATGACAACATTTTACCAGAAGAACACAAAACTTCAGAAAACAGTCCATGGGATCTGGGAGAAAACGCTGTGTGTCTATATTTTGCAATCGAGTATTTCAACAGCGAAAGAGTTTTACCGGATTTCAAAGTCCTTGAAATTGTTGAAGCTCTTACAGATTCAATGCCTGTAAAGGATGTTAAGTGTGTGCAAAAAGTTGCTGGAATGTGGCAGATTGTTCTGAGAAGAAGAAAGTACTTGTCATATTTCAGACAGATGGGGATCACTGTACGAGGGAGGGTTTATCAATTGGTGGACGATTTTGAGAGTTATTGCAAAGTTATTTATGATGACGATGATGATGAAACAAAAGTTTAAAAATCATAAATGCACGCACACACACAGTCCGAGCTCTGCAGTCCGAGAGTCCCGGTTGAGGGAGGCCAAGCAATGACTTAAGAAAAAAAAGCATTAAAGATCATGTTTAAAAAGACTGAATAAAAATAAAGTAAACAATTTTGAGGCGTAARATTTTATTTCTAACAATTGTAAAATCAAAGAAATTTCTACGCGTGCTTGAAGATTTTAGTCATGCTCGATTCCATGCAAAAACATCGACTTGTGCAGCTCRCCCTATATGAAGTTAGAATGATGACTGAACCTCGCGTCCCGTGAAAACTCCACTGCTTCCCAGCATTATAATAAGATTAATTTGCATTTTTTTAATGCAGTGTCTCCATATATGTGGTTGACGTAATAATAAGAGAGTAATTAACATACTCTATATATAGTGATTCGTCAGCAGTTCCGAAGTGCTTCATCAGCAGTTTTATGCGAAATTCGTCAAGTCCTGTACCAGTACCTTTGAATTACCAGTAATTATCAGTTTCCAGGAATTTACATACCAGTTCAGTACAAAGAGTTTGGGTATCATCACAATCGTGATACTGATTAATTCGAATCAAGCACTTTTCAGTTTGATCATAGTTAGTATTAACTATGCCAAGACCAAGGTCGTCCATAATGATGTGATTGGGGAATTCCCCTACATGCCGAGCCTCACCATAATTGGAGATCATGYGTGTTTRCTGGTCTATGCACAATYTATAGATGATGTAGAATATTWTTTGGGTTTYGTCTCGATTTRAAGAGCGCCTGTGTAGTAATGTACCAAACATATTGTAARTAGTGGTCGACTGAAGTATGCACATCGGTGTATCGGTGGCTTATTCAGTGTAAAAAGGTAAGGCAAAATCTAGAGAAAACCGAAAAGCTGACTGCAGAAAAATACTGCTTTATAATTTGAACGAAAATGTATGTATTTTCGATACTGAATCGAGAGCAAMATGAAAGACATGCCGATTTCGTTTTAGTTTACATGTAATATCATGCCTTGAAATTATTATATATAGTCCAGACAGATTTACAATCARTGAAAAATATAGGTATATTTAGAACTGCTGGTGGAAATATGATTCCTATATTTGATATCTCGTGTACTGATTCAAAGTGAAAGATTTATGAATAAAAACGAGTCCAAAGATGATTAGACTTTGTACAGGTTGAGCACAGATWGCATTTTATATATTCTCTGTTTATCTTTATTCATTTTCCGAGACCTGCGCGTTCCGTGTCAGTCGTGGGTAGCTGTGCTTCCTTCGTACGTCATAGCTTCAAAACTAAAAAAAGATTGACAAAAGAACATTAAAGCGACTCTCAGTTTTTGAAATCTATTTTCGTTTCTATTCACTCGATGGGACCATGGTCGCATGCTAGATCTGTTGGTGGATCAATGGTTGGCAAAAAACCTTCCATGCTATTTTCGTTCATATGATAGGAAATCATCAAAGTGGTCTATGCTATTTTCGTTCATTCTGGCAATAATGAGCCATATGTCCCATATGTCTTGTAGGTTTCAACACTTTAGTTTTCCCGCCAAAAACGATCGTCCAATAAAATCACRGAACACACGTGACATTATATTTGACAGCTTTGCATACACTCACATGGCTTGTGTGATGCTCATGGAGGTTGTTGTTTGTTCATGTTCGAAACGTCTGTGTTTTAGACCCTGTATATCAGCTAGCAATACCAGAACTCCAGGTTAATGAAAGTAATTCAACAATGGAAGTATTTACTAGCGAAGATGCCAAGAATATATTGTGGAAGAGGTTTGTTGTGGTCATTGGAGACTCTGGTAAGTTGACGACCTTCGAGGTTGTCAATTGTTGCTTGAACTTTACTTTAAACTTTGACAAGATAAATGCTAAGATAATGTTTATATTTGTAGTCCAGCGTTGTGTGTATAAAGACCTTGTATGCCTTCTTCAGCCAAACAACAACAATACTGGCTATCTGTCACAGAAAGAACTAAAAGCCAAGGTATTCTCAAGCTCGCGTTGTAGCTCAAATTTCTCAAGATCAAATAACTTCTTCTGTCATGATGTGATTTTATAAAACGAAAAAATGTTACTTAATACCGCAGTAAGCATAAATTAGAACGAGGTTGTATTTATGTAAATACCGAAGTCATTAAAATGTTCAAAGTTCAAGAACAGGAGAGGTCACATTCCTGTTGTAGGTGCAGTATSACGAAAATATCAACTGAAAGGTTTTTAGAAAAGGRAAACCGTTTTTTTATTCATTTTTTCCCTTTGTTATATTAAATCATAATGAATTTCCATTAATTCTTCGTTTCAAGTTTATACGTTGACAAGTAATACGTTGTTAGGTATCTATTGTTCATTCCTTGAACATGGACGCCGGTCTTTTATCTTTTGAATCTCATGGGAATGGTTGAAAACAAGCAATGAATGGACTTCATAGCAACTGATCAGCATCGTTTGATTAATGGATTTAGGGATTGTGTAAATAGAACTTATTTACTAGTATAACYTTGTTTTGCTGATTCAGCAATTAGCTAACTTGTTTATTATTTATTTCAGGGTGAACTAGTATTCTTGGGTGATAAGCTTCTTGAAGGTGGTGAGTTAAGTGATGTTAAAACAGGAATTAARTACCGTGAAGTAAGGCAGTATGACACTGGTACCACACTCCTTAAATTCTATTTTGTAACTCGATGTTACTCTGAACACGTCGAGTCTGTTCTCAATGAAGTAAAGACCATCCAACCACATGTCATYATWATGAACTCATGCTTGTGGGACCTTCATCGATATGGTCCCCGCGGACCAGAGACATATAGAAGTAATATGAATAAGCTAGTAGAAGCTGTAAAGAAAGTCATACCCAAAGATGGTGTATTTATATGGAATGCAACAATGCCACTTGGTCCAAAGTGTAAAGGGGGATTCCTTTTGCCATACTATGAGAACATTCCATCACAAGAGATTCTAGAAGCTAATTTTGTTGCCAGTGAAGCTGTCAGATTATCCAATTTCATATWTCTAAACCTACATTCAACATTTAGCAACCAGTTGCACTTACGGGCTCTTGACGGCATACATTGGAATAGTATCGCACATAGAAGAATATCAAACCTAATACTACATCAGTTATGTCGAGTTTGGAACCATCCAGTGCCTAGTAGATTACTAATGGAGCCCCTTCTACCACCAACTCCTCCCTTTGGAGAAAGGCCATTGAGCAGATCGTTCTCTTTTGATTCAAATCTAGAGAGATATAGCCCTAAAGTCTACCCTTATAGTTGTCCTGTCAGTGACAGAAGATATGTTGTTGAAAGGACATTAGAAGAGGAAAATGCTAGTAATTATAGGGATAGGTTTAGATTGATAAGTACCCCTGTTTCCACTTCTAGAATTAGTTCATCTTTCAATAGTCCAAACTGCTCAGGCTTTGATCCAAAGAAGGGGGAAACCTGCTCTGCCCCACTGCTCTCAAGCTCTCCAGTTGAGTCCTCTTCAAAGACACATCTTAGTGATGTTTCTGGAGCTTCCACATCTCAGACTCAGCTCTCTACATCTGTGGTACAAGAGCCAACATCTCTGGCTGGAACTTCGCCATGTTTTGTTGAAATCAAAACAGTACTGTTAACTGAAGACAAACCATTGCCACATGAAGAGAAACCTTTAGAGAAACCATTACATCTTGATGGAAAGTGCTTGATGCCAGACATGAAATCAGTCCTGTTGGGAGACACACCTTCATCATATGAYGTTAAACATTCTGAGAAGCAGTCACATATGAATCCATCTGTGACAAGAGGACTGCTAGGAGACAAGCCTTCTATTCTTGGAGACAGGCCTTCACCATTTKCAGATAAACCYGTAGCTTTTGGAGAGAAATGTCAATTRTCTTATGAGGACCAAGAAGATGAACCATTAATAGCCAAATCTGAACAACTTGAATTGAAACCTTTGTTACTTGAAGAAAAGCCTTCAGTATCTGAAGAAAAACACCCAGTTGTACAAGCASTAAACAAAGAGAACAATTCTGCAAACATTGAAGAGAAACCATTAACTATTCATCAAGAAGTAGTTGAAGAGAGGAAAACTACAACAAGGGAAGAGAAAATATTCATTGAACAAGAATTAGTTGAAGACAAACCTACAGAAACCAAAGAGAATTCAACAGTTATTAAAGAAGATATAATTACTGAGAAGAAACCTTTGCCTTTTGAAGATGGATTAGCCATTGTGTCCTCTCTATATGAAGACAAAYCACCACTGGTTAAAGAAAAACTCTCATTGTCTGGAGAAGARCATTTGTGTCATGTTGARGACAAACCATTAGCAACAGAAAACAAATCCATCGAAGAGAATCAAGTCTCTTGTGGAGGAAACCTTACTCCAGTGAAAAACATTACTAACAAGAATAACATTCCAACTGTTAACATCACATCTCCTCCGTCTGCAACCATACCCAATGGAATGGAGGCTTATCCTACTGGGAATACACCTCCTGATATGGCATCAAACACTCCCCAAACAGTATCACTTTCCATGGAAGAAGCATGCCATGTAACAAGTGAAGATGATGACATTGCAGARGAGCACCTCAGACAGATGCTGTTAGTTTCACAGCAAGTAAATCGTGAACTCAAAAAATCACAAAGGATTAAGAATGAAAGAGTTATGACAGCCACATGTTCTGGCAAAAGCCTCAATCAAACAGAAACTGTTGACACATTAAACTGTTCAAAGAGTAACRTACAATACATGTCTACCTCAGTGAAAACAGTAAAGGAAAATGATAAGGGAACCAGTGCAAACAAACAGGATGACAGCAAACTGAAGCATACTAGTACTGACAGCTGTGAAATTGCAAAGAAAATTACCACATCTAAAGAAAATGGAGATGATAAATCTGGTAAAATTCAAAACTCTGGCAATAAGAACACTGTCAAAAACARCATGAAAGATATCTCAAGGAGTAATGATCGTAATACTAGTAGAGGCATAAAGCGTAAAGTGACAATCATGCCAGAWTCTTCACCCAGAAATAAACASAGAAAGGMRGAAGACAAAAGGGTTTTCTTGTCAAAATGTAAAATTCAATGTCCTTCAACCAGTGAYGTGCCRCTGGCAGCTCAAGCAACACCATTAAGTAAAAATCGAAAACGCAAGGCTTCAGATWGTTCTTCTCAAAGTAAGYGTGCTAAACATGAAGAACAGGAGCATGGYTTGACCCGGAAAGTCATTATCAAGTCTAGTGTATCTAACACTATTACAACACAGAGCAATACAGATTCATTACCTGATAGAAGCAAGTCATCACCTAATCAATTATCAACTCATAAAAGACTGCTATCATCAAAGAGAAATGAAGGTTCACACATTACTCAGAATGCAGCCTTTACTGTACCTAAAGTTCCACAAAATTCAAGGAGCAAATCAAAACATCAACGTTCAAATTCCATGTCAATACCTGTTGTATCACACCTTCAACAACAATATCCAATGAGTAACTCTATCTGGACTGGAACTYTTGGCGGACATGCAATTAATCCATTGACTCCGATAGCAAGGGGAATTAATAGTAGTTCAATGACACCAATAGCRAGGGGAATTAATAGTAGTYCAATKACACCAATAGCAAGGGGAATTAATAGTAGTTCAATGACACCAATAGCGAGGGGAATTAATAGTAGTTCAATGACACAGCAACAAATTGCACAACAGCAGTTAATGTTTAACATGGCCCTTCATCGCAGAAGCTCCTTCCCTCCTGTTAACCCCTATGTGAACCAATGGGGCATGTATAGAGGCTATCAGCATGGTAACCAAAGGTATTAAATGTATTGCTATAVTAACAACAATCTGATTGGACAAAAAGCATGTTTACTTATTGTTGGCATAGCAATCATATCAGCATGGTAGCCAAAGGTATTAAATGTATTGCTATAATAACAACAATCTGATTGGACAAAAAGCATGTTTACTTATTGTTGGCATAGCAATCCTGTATGCAGCTGTTTGATTGGATAAGTGCTTCCAGGCACAGAAATAGGGATCTGCATACTGATTGGTCATGCATTGTTTGCAAGAGTGTTTCCATAGTAACATTGGGATCCTAACACTGACTGGACAAGTGTTATTTGGAAATGAAAGTTACAAATGTTCTTGAACCTCATCAAAAAGAACATTTATTGTGAAAGAAAACATTTTATAATAAGAATTAGTATCAATATTAAAATACATTTATGTTTGTTGCCATTTTCTRCATGAGACTATTTTTCGGATTAATATCTACAAGAATTTAATATTACAAGAATGATTATTTCAATTATTTTTAAAGATAATGTTGAATTGATTTTGGTAAGGCATGATTGAAGCAATTGCACATTTATTGAAGCAAGATTTGTGTTTTTTAAGTGTATTTGACTTACAAATCATATTTTCCGATCTGACTGACAATGAAATAGTTTTGGAATATATTATCCTTTCATGATAAAATGAAAAAATATTGTTAACGTTATCGGGTTTTTGATGTTATTTGTTTCATAAAAACCCATTAAAAGGTAGTTTATGAGAAACTAGAGAACTTTAGTATTGTGATATTTATGTAGTTATCTGTATATTAAAGTTTATGAATTAAACGACTATTGGTTTTACATTGTCGTCGATCTGGGACCTCGATAATCTGCGCTGATAATACAGAATACAGGCACGTACTGTGTTTCCTATTACTYGGCTTATTTATATGCAACGTTTTGGTTACAGCACTCTCACATTCAGTTCTACGACTCGTCATTACTTATTGCGAATGCTCYGATGTGATTTCTGAGCCCAYATTTTCGCCATTTTCGAATTGAGATACAGTTCTTTCTTAAAATATTGACAACGTTGCTTTAATTTGCTGTATAATATCGTAGTGTAATATAGATAAGTAAAGTTGTCTTCCATAGGGCATTGCCACTTTTCTATTAAAAAAAATAATTAAATAATATAATACTACGCATTACTTCCAGCCGTACCGCCTTCTGTGTTGTAATCAAATKGTGAGAGYCATTATAACAGATAAGGGCTCAACGACTTTAGTTTTTTTACGTCAGACGTAATGGACATGACGTTCACTTATAGTTTACGTATATTAGTGCGGTCTAGTGTAGTAAGGAAGTTTTAAGATTGCTCAAATCTAGGATATTATAATTAGACGAAAAGAAAAGCGAGATGAGACATACAAGTCGAAAAACAGAGTTCTGCTAGATTTTGAAAGAGTGAAAAAACGAAATTAAAGAAAAGAGAAAAAAGGAAAGGAAGAAAAGAAAACTGGACAAAACACAAAAAGTATCAAAGAGATGAAGCATACATTGTTTAAAAAAAAGATTTCTGGAAGTATCGAGAAGAAAGCAAAGAAAACATTAAAATCGCCTCTGAGGTCTTTGAGAAATTATAAATACAATCTATGAAATATACGTATTTKAGATAAAAGAATGTTATCTTTGTATCCGATCAAAGACAAAAGTGAAAACTGTTTTTGACAAAAAATCCTTGTTARCGGAAAATTATTAGTCCTTGATGATAAGAGAAAGATATATAAACTAAGGAACAACTAGTTAGGGAATGACTTAATTCATAACATAAAAYAATAGGGATAAGACAGCTGTCGCACGCACGCYYTTGACCGCAATCATCCACAGCTCGAGATAAAGGCAATTGTATTGATAAACTAGCCAATAGCAAGACAACGCCCACACGTTGTTAAATACTCCATCATAAACAGATGAAAATGCAAATATTGTTGACACGAAACCACGCTGACATCGCACAGCGGTCTTGCCGTCAYAACAATAACTGGCCAATCGTAGATATGCTCACCTCGTGCTCATATTGTACGACGTTTTCAAGGGAGGCAAAACAAAAACTTAATAGGTTGGTATGGACATCCACGCGTGATGTGCTTCACAACAATCTGGTGAGCGCACGTATCGTGTTGGCTACTAAAGGCCAAAGTATCGGATAAAAAATTTCTGAAGCCCGAGTATCGCCTATAAATACACCGGTAAGTTCTATTTTTTCAAGTTTCTCTTAACTTGAATGWAGTAACACTATATTTTTGACAACAACTCGAGTTAAAAGTGAGAATAACCCACGCTAATTGTCTTGTCACTTTCCGAAAAAGAAATTTTTGTCGCAGTTTTTTCACTGATATTTGGTAATTCTTGGTTGGAATATTCACAAGTTTTTTTAGAAATACCATGCTTACGTTTAAAAGGTTGTTTTCAGGTTTAGCTATTTGAGAACCGTAAATCGTTATATTTAAGTATATTTTCGCTAAATATGCATGATCAAATTGCTATCTTTCACACTGCTCAAGACTTGTCGTCCACGGTACGGCAAAGCTAAATCCAACGATTAATTCTAATTAATCACTCAATCGTCGACTAAAATCCATTCAAGTTTGAATGAAAAATCTTTGTCTATCTTATACTCGAATCCTTCATTAACAATGAGGAATATTCTGTCCGCTTCGAGGACAGGTGACATAATAACCGACTGTTCTCCCTATAATAGTATGACGTATTACACTACGCGCATTGCATTGTAGTCTGTATCTATTTCTTTTTGTGATGGAGGTTACCAGGGTCGTGGGCAAAAACAAGGGATATGGACACTCGAATTAATCTACGTTTAGTTGTTTTTCTCAATAGTCGGTAATTCWTTGTTCTTTATTTCGAGTACACATTTTCGCTATTTTTAGTTTGTTATGACTGTATTTTTACTTGTACTGTTGTTTTAAAAAATCCCATTCTTTCAAATTTCTTTTTTTCCCTTTAACTTTTTTGTTCATTTCTCGCTCATTAGTTGTTTTCAAAAATCCCATTCTTTCAAATTTCTTTTTTTTCCCTTTAACTTTTTTGTTCATTTCTCGCTCATTAGTTGTTTTCAAAAATCCCATTCTTTCAAATTTCTTCTTTTTGGCTTTTCTTTTTACTTGTTTATTCATTTCTTGATTCATTAGCTCGACTCACGCATCCATTCTTCTTTGATTCATAATTTTCTTACCGTCATTCCTTCCTTTCTTAGATTCGAGCAGCATCAATTCTTGTAGCAACTGACTTTAAAACAAAGACCCAATGACAGCGATAATGTGCGAGAAGTCTTACGCAACCAAACCGGTTGATCTGGTTAACTTACCAGTCGAACCAACAAGCCCAATACTACGGTCAAAGTATTACCCAAGGATATCCAAACAAGTAACGCCGCGATCTAAACCTGTTGAATCAAACCTGAAAAAACCGGTTTTATCAAAGCGCAACAACCCTTTTAACCTCTCTTGTTCCCATGTGAACATGAAAACCAAGGACTCAACGACGAACCCTCGTCTCGAGGTCAAAACTACACTACCGCCCACCACAGGAAGACCGCGAAAAATGTTATCGGCCAAYTTCCCGAGCACTGTAGAAACGATACCTTTGAGAAACAAAATGACTTTGATGAAATCGTCTTTATCGCGTTCTTCTCTATACAAGACACCTGATTGTCCATCAGCATGGTCGAGGCAGRTCGGCACCAATAAACCGACCACGCCCAGGGTGTATGGGGACTGCTATGATAGCGTTGATGTTATGGAATCAAAAACCASTACTGACTACAAGACACAGAATACTAATATGGGATATAGAGAGAAGTGTTTACAATGGCTTCTTACTCTCCCTGACTAGTTTTCGATAACAATTAWGTGCCGTGCTATGGTAATTTCATTAAATCCTAAGCAGTCAAATCGCTCGCTCCCGAATTTTACTAATATGACTGTATGCCAATAATTAATGATGATGTCAAATATTGACAAGAACATTAGACAATTTTTTTCTCTAGAGTGCTTTTAGTAAAAACGTGAAACTATTTTGTTCTACTTTATAGTGCTAATTTCTTTRTTTCGTGTTCAACTAGCACAATTTTGTAATTAGTTTTTCACGCTTTTACTCCAAGCCAGTCAACTCTAGCAGTTTTGACATAAATACCAAATGATAAATCCAAATTTAGCGTACATATGTATAAAACAGCGTTTTGTTTATATAACGACACTTTACAAGTCGAGACAGCAGAAAAGGAATATAATCTTCCTGTGACATAAACTGTACACTGTTATATTTACTGAATTAAACATTCAAATTCTAGTTTGAAATAGTACTTTGACAATGCCCTTGATTGTATTACACGGATGGTACTGAGTTAAACACAATGATCTCGAAATCAATAAGGAAGCCAACTTTTTAGCCGCCATTTTTCACGTGTCCGGAWCAATCAGTAATGTCACGTCATTTATCGCGTAATTCTTTCAGATGCAGCACGATGAAGCGCTCTAAGAGCGTTTGTTTTCTCTTCGAAGATAAATTAACTAATGACCTTATTACAGAAGACAGCAAACATCCCGTTATATATGACGCCTTACCATTAATTTTGAACAAAAGCGATTTGTAACCATATCCAAGCTACTTTGCGGTTTACTTGGGTATGTTTGAGCGTCTCTTTGGCACGTTTTTTCAGAGACAGGTGTAAGAAGAAAGCTTTGTTTTCAGACTGCAGATTATTTGTTTCCTTCAGCCTTTATTTAATTTTAAAATATAATATGTACATATTTTAATAATAATTTTTAAATTTTTGTACTGTTTCACGTATTTTTAGTGTTATTTATGCTCTGATTCCAATTCACGTAAGTAACACTCCACCAGTCCCAGAATCCTCCAGTCATCCATAGCAGTAGAAACAACGGTTTTGTTATTTCGTGGCGCAAACTTCAACAACAGATGCTGGTGAGGTGGCAAGAAGATTCCAACATGGACCTCGTCGCCTGTGATACAAACAATATAAGATATCACTAGGTAAAATGGTTTCCAGAGAGAAAGACTCAAACGTTGCTTCTGTCCTGTCCTCTCGCCCTCCAGCCAACAATGTCATCAATTTTTACCTTTTACTTCTATCATGTATTGCTTGAAGTGCTTGTTTAAAATTTCTAGTGCTTGTTGCCATGGAAGTGACAAACAAACTACTGTCAGTGCCCCCTTATTTAACGGAGCCTCCCTGCAATGAAAGACTTGTCTAAGAATAAAGGACAAGAGAAAAGTCTCATTTCTGAATTGACTGCAACAAACTTACGTTGTACGTTGTTTCTCTGTAAAATCTTCCCATAAGACAGCGAACAGCTTCTTTTTGGTTTTATTCGAATTCTCCTAATAAAAGGAAGGAATTTACGTAATGCTTAAAACAAACGTAATGAAAACGTTTGTAAAGCCGCAATCGCACTATATATGTTCGTGTTATGGTATATACGCTTTTATGTCACGATCTCGTATGTACATACAAGTCACTTAAAGGGTACGAATCAGAGCTCCTATGGTACGAATCACTTTTTTAACGTAAGGAGTATTTGGGGTTCATCAAGTGTAAACGTGAAGATTCACTTACGTTTTGAAACATTTCAGGCAAACATAAAGGTAAAAACAAATCCTCAAAACGAATCTGTAGATTATCTAAAACCATTGTGCATGTAAGACCATCCTCGTTGTGAAAWACAGATCTAAAAAGKAMAAWAAGAAGTTGAACTACGCATGAAGTTGAACGTAAACGCGCATGATCAGAGAAATGGGATGACTTCATACCTGACGCTGAAGGATGCTGGGACTGGTTCACGTGGTTTGAATAAAACTTTCATTTGATGACACCCTTTAAAAAAACAATCGTCAGTAGGTTATGTCTATATAAAATATCATTGATAGAGAWGTAAGACAAACAGCCTTCAAGGGAAACATTTGTATCTGTTGTTTACTACAAAACGAGGGTTGGGCTAGGAGCGTCAGTTTACTACTACTCCATAAAACTTTTTTACCTTTTTGAGGTCTGGCAGAAGTTGCTTGTGAAAGGAATGGAATGTGGATATCTATAAATAACAAAAAGTTGACGTTAATTAATATGACCACATACTAWAGCAACAAGGGCAGTTTACAGGAAWGTGAGTGACTGACTGACTGACTGAGTGACCGACYGAGCAAGTGGCAGATCATTCACATACAATCTCTGAGTTAAAAATGATCAACAAGYATTYGTTCAACATTTCATCAGAATGAAGTTCACTGATGTTTGTTTATGGAAAGTCTTCACTCTAAGATGATGAACACAACAATGATGAGGATGTTGCTAACCTTCAACTGGTTCATAAGTTTTATTGTGGCCAAACTGCAGCACTAAGGCATACAAATGAGAGGGTGGGTCTAGGTCATTCTGAAAACAAAGCATATTAATACTCAACTTGGTACATGGTTGCATTTTCAGGCTATTTATGGAATTCCTGTCCTCTATACTGTAACAGGCGTTGAAGTAAAATAAGTAGAGATTCCTGACTTACAAAATGTATGTAGTAGTCTATTTGAATATCAGAGTTCCATGAAGGATCATTTATCATCTTAGAGTAATGGCCTAATAATCCTGTAGAATAWAGACAGAAAACATTCAAATTATTGTTGTAGTATGTACGCATTGATCACTGTCCTTACACAGCCACTAGAGTAAGATTTCATATGACTGTGCAGAAAAACATGACACTTTTGAGCAATAACCATGCCATGCCATGTCTTGCTGTGCTGTGCTGTGCCATGCCGAAACTGTGATGTGCAGTGGTGATGGTGATGTGTTCTTGAATCACTATTTTCATTTGGCGTCACTACCATGCTAGGTTCCGTGACTTTACTGTGTTGTGTCCGTGTCATGATCCGTGCCTTTGCACAGTCATCCAGGACAGTCATACAAAATCCTCTCTATCATACACGATAACTGAAACATTCTGTAGTTACCAAGAAAGGATATATTTATAGGGTAGATTCATGAATGCATCTATGTTTACCATATGGTTGAAGATCTARTGATGATACAACTTCTTCTTTGTCTTTTTCAGGGACAGAATCCTTTGGCACACTAAATATAGCACACAGAAGGTTAATTTAAAAAAGAGAGGCTGTTTTAATGTGCTTTCCTTTATTTACCCATGTTTTATTTAATCAATATAATACCGTGTTAGCTGTAAAAAAGGTGTCTTGATGTGCTGTACAGGGGGTGTACTGGAAAACGATGATGAAGTTATGTCATCTTAAAGATAAAAAGTCAAGTAGTATTGTTTTAAAAATGTCAGTGATAGTGATGATGTAATGTTGACRGATGTTACCTGCTAGGCCAACATTAAAAGCCTGTTTCTTTGCTGTTTCAGACATCAGAATCTTAGAAGCCTATATTGCAAAGGAAAGGTTTGAATAGAAAACAAATGCTATGCMCTTGAAGCTCACAAAACTGCATAAAATACCTTTTCACTAGAGACATTGGCCAATAAAGAGTAATAAAATCGCGCCCTGTCTCGAATATCTTTTGCAATGTTAAGAATATAACTGCATCCAATTRCTAAATAGTGAATCAATTCAAATGATATCCATGACTTCAAAGGATACCAATGTCTTGGTAAGTCAAGGACATATTCAAAAGTAGATTTCCAAGATCTGAAAAATATGATTGAGCACAGACATGCGTGACTACTAGTCAAAGAATAAAAACATTTGCTAGAGCGAACTAACCTCTTATGACATGCCTTGTGTCATGATGAAGAAGAATACTATGACAAACAGACAGAACACAGTTTCCAGTCTTCCAGCAGCCCTGACTTGAAAGCTCTGAAGTATGCAGGAGCAAGTCAAGAAACCGAACTGTTGGCTACAAAAAAMCAATAACTTCAGATAGTGGGACCTAAGCTCCATTATAGTTACAAATATTACTTACAGATGGATCAATGTTGGACTTAGTCATGGCTTGTGCAAGTAGCTTGAGATGGTGACTTAAGTTTGGTAAGATGGCTGACAAGGGTTGTGCAACTACATGCTGACTTAAGACTCTCAGTAGATYCACTGGAAATGGACTGAAATGCATAATGGTGTAATCAGTATTTTCATCAAGCTTAACACCAAACAAAATAAGTACTACCTGTCAGGTGTAACCATGGCAATGGAGTCCAAAAAGTCAACAACGTGTGCCATGAACTTAGGGTGCTTGGTTATTACTGATACAATTAGCCTGAAAATAAAATATACAGTCTAATATTATCTGTACACTGCTATGTAAATGATAAGAGAAGAAAGCAAATGAAAAAAAGGGAAGGAATGAACAGTCATATTGCTGTAATCTGTAGTAATCCATGAAAATAAGATGAGAAACAATAGGAGCAAACAAACAAGCATAGAACAAAGGCAGGTACATTTCATTTAGGAAGGGAGGAAGGGAGGAAGGGAGGAAGGGAGGAAGGGAGGAAGAAAGAAATGCAGGAATTAAATTTAGAAGACATACAAAGTCATGCATACATTAGACACCCATCATTTTGTGCATGATATGAATACTTTACTGAATCACCTGTAAATGTCTCTGACAAGTAAAGTGTCATGGAAATATGTGTAATACCAAAACAATGTCCTAAACAATGCACATATTCTGTTGCCACCAACACCAAGAAGAACTTGTTTATTGATCAACGATAGACAATTCATTAACACAACAGTGCAATCCGAATCTACAGACATTGAAAAAAAAAGTCATGTTATCAAAATGAATGTTTCTCAGTCCAGTTATTATCAGTTGATTCAAGAACATGATTTTGTAATTAGGAAGTTGTCCTTCAGTAGCAWTATGGGGTAAAATGAGAGCTGATGGCAGTRCACTACTGTTWAAATTTCAACAGTTGTGCATGGCCCTCAACTCTCATGATTTGGTAAGTTATGAAAAAAATGAGTTTAATACCTTGGTTGTCATTGGTGTGGAAAAATAGACAAAGWAGCTTTAACTTTTCCTGGACGACATCTGCAAACCAATATTGAAATAAGCTATAAAAAGTAAACATACTAAACGTATCAAGTTGAAAGAAATATATCTCACCTAAACTATCAAAACCTGACGGATATAAGTACTGATGAACGTCTTCCATAAAGAATGACGATGCTGTTGGTTGATTTGGTGCACGGCCTGTCTTACACTGTAGAAACAAAAGAATGGATATCAAACATACCATGAGCATGTATGAGAGCCAGGTAGCACCGCTCGGAACGGGTCTCATGATAGGTTGAGAAAACAATGGACAAACAATAGATAAGTCTTCCAACAATATAACAAAACCTAACCTAACAATAGTGGTGCTGTACTTAAGGAGCAATCAAAAAGCAGGTTTCAATTGGTACTGCATTACTCATGTATGAACATGAATTGTATAAGAAATGAATCCTTACTTTATATTGTCATTGAATAAAGATGAATTGCAATCTAGTTGTTATATGATAGATAAGTCTGCAACCTATCACAGAGCAGGGYAGGGCAAAGAGAAAGGAGCTTTGAAGTAGACTATATTGGAACAAATTCTGGTGTGACATACCAACTCCTCTGGAAAGTGAATCAACCATTTAAAGCAAAGGAGGCGATAGTCATTTGGTAATGTTGGCTGACCAGCTAAGATAAACAACCTTTAAAAAAAAATTCACATCTACATCAGTGAAATTACTTGGTGTTATTCCTAAGTACAGTATAAGTACAGTATAAGCACAGTATAAGTACAGTATAAGTACAGTATAAGTACAGTATAAGTACGGTACCTCTGTAATAACAGGATATCATCACATTCTTGGAACATATCAACTGAGAACTTGAGCTGTGTTCATAATCAAAAGGATCTGATTAATAAATAATGCAAAGACTACATTCCTAGTCTATTGTTGTAGAAGTTTAAGACTGGTACATGGCTGTCATAATGCCATTCATTCAATTCCCTTTACTCCCTTTATTATTATTGATAGTTTTAAAGCATATACATGTTTTCAAGCAACTTACCCTTAAGAACAGAAGCATGTGAAAAATAGAGATATCTGAAGATGAGATCCACTGAATAAACTGAGACATGAAAGTCTGAAAAAAAGGAAATGAAGTTTACTGTATTATTGCTCGTTTATTGTTATCAAAATAAGGAACTTACATTTGGAGAAAGCTCTGAATGCTTAATACAATGCATTAGCTGAAACAAAGAAGAATCAAATGTTATGTAGATCATGCTATTTAACAAACTATTATGTCAAGGCAATGGAGACTGCTCAAAAAGAAAATATTGTGGAGTTGTATTGTACATGTACCTCTAACATGGAATAAAACAGTGCAGTGGTATTCAGGAGTCCAAGGTTTTCCATTGTAAAAGATATTGCTCTTTTCAACTCTTTGGTGTKCACTTTTTCRGGAAGAYACAATAAAGGGACACCACAGGGTGGAGACTGAAAATTAAGGTAAATTATGTTCATTACATCATTGAAACTAATAATTCAATTTCTCTTTATAGATGKATTTGGACTTACTCGAAGAGACAACTGAAAAGAGTCAGCTGTGACGTYCGATGCAAAAACCAAAGGCTGTGAAGAAATCAACACAGACAAACATCAATAATACAGAGTGCAGTTGTTAATATATTTTGGCAATAATAATATGTATGTGATGTCTAAAGATGTGGAATTACCTTCAGGGSCTCTGTATAATCTGTTAAGAGTTTGTCCAAATAGTCAGTCTCCAATCTAAACAATATGWCAAAAGATTTAGCTGAAAAGTCTTTGAGATTAAGATGCAGAAGAGTTAATAAGTTGAATTGAACTAGGCTGTACTGTCTTTTGAAGAAAGATTATTGGACATATTTTCTACAGGAAGGATTGACACAGTTCATTACATCAATAATATGCAATAGAAGAAGGGCTTTACTCTATGAAAGAATTTGATGCCAGTTGCTCAATTGTATGGCGCAAGACTGTAACAAACAAAACCTGAAAGAAAGGAAAAAATTATACACCCTTTTAATAAGTCCCCAGATTTCTCAGCACTTGACGTCAAATTTATTCTTTTGAAATTTTGACAATACAAAAGGAATTCAAAAGAATAAATTTGACGTCAAGTGCAGAGAACACAATACCTTGGGACTTATTAAAAGGGTGTATGACAAAACAAAAACAATGGTTGCCCAGCAAACAAATAGGAGTTACCATATAACTTTGGAAGATAGGACTGGATTCTGCATCACAATATTTGTACAGTGTGCCTAGCTTTGCCTGAAATATGCCCTAAAATATGAGAAATACTAATTATTAACTTGTATTATATCTCAAATAAATTCATCATGAATATTTGTTTAATAAGACATCACTGTAATTTAACTTACAGGGTAATTAARCTCTATTTCCCAAACACATTCACATGCAGCTTTTCTAACAAGAAGGTTACTGGAGCTTTTCACCTGAAGCCACAAAAAGAACATTGCATTTTTACGGCAACAAAGACRTAAGGACGTCTCAATTTGACYRTTTTTCACTTTTTGAATTTCATTTATGATAAACATTGCAGCAGACCAATCTACATTTAACATGATTATAACAGTATTTGCTAATACCTTCTCAATGATGTCTGTCAGTACTCCCACAAATGCTACAAAGACTTCATGGCTTTTGATCTAACAAACAGTAATAAAGAAAGTTTTACAAAGCTTATAGTCTGCATATGTTAAGATGCAATTTTCTCCTTCACAGTCTATGCCTTAATTACATTAAAGCGAGACAACCAGTAAGCTTACATGCTAAACAACTGTCAATAACTGTTTATGAGTGTGGAAAAAGGTGTATATCATTGCAAAGACATGCACGGTTGCCTTAATTACATACAGATGTAAATACTTACAAGGAGATCAGAAGAAATGACCAGACATGTTCCTGTTACTAATATCTATAAATAATTCAGTACAGCAATTCAAATCAGACAAGTACAAATTTCAGGTATTACACAGGAAACCCAAAGGTTTTTACTAACTTGACTAAGATAGAATTGTGACGGGTGGCCTGATGGATGTAGAAACATATCYTTTAAAGACCCAACAGCACATTCAATGCTGCAATACAATGAATGGTGTAAAAGGCAAATTAGAAACCCCTATAGCCACTTGCATACTCATACGTAAATGACTTTATAACATTGAGATAACACAAGATTGAAATCTTATAATAGTTAGACCTGTACCTTGTTATATCTGAGGAAAAGCTTGAAACCTTAAAAAAGAAAAAAATATATTTTTATTTAAAGTAAATAACCTTGTTAACCAATTTAGTTGATGTTTTCCTTTACCTAGTATTAATTATTAACCTTTATCATGAAAGGAATCTGATTGCCTTATTGATTCAATGATGAATGGTTGATGTTTTGATTCATTGACTGATTACAATCATAACTAGACTATCATTGGTTTCATTCTCGAACTAAAATGATTGATTGCTTGTTTATGAGTGGATTTTTGGTTGGTTGATGACTGACTCGCAGCTTAATATTTGTCTACCAGCTTGACATGACTGACTGGTTGGTTGGTTGAAAAAAGCACAGCAGGATAACTAATGAATTAAATGATTGGATTTTATTCACCTTTTCTTGCAAAGCAAACAACAGCTGTAGTTTAACATACTCAGAAATATTTTCATGGCACAGTTCCTGTTCAGAAAACAAAGAAAGCTTATTGCATTGAAAGATTTAGTGATTGATTTCTCAGATGTTAGTGAGCATCACTACCATACCTCAAGGATATCTAACATGAAATTGTCATCGATTTGTTGAYTTCCTACTAGTTTCGTCCCTCGAAATTCCTTGATTTTAGCCAACCAGACCTCATTCAATGACCCCATAGTAAACTACTAAAGAGTTTTACAACTTTGATGGTAAAGCATTAAAATCAGCCTAATTTTCGTCCATTTTGTTCCTTTAAATGTATGGAAAAAATAATTCACTTTCTGTYCGCCATATTGTCACTTCAACTCTCTTTGGGACTGGGTAGGGGAATAATTTATTACCGTGCGGGGAGGGCTGGSGGGAAATGTGAATTTCGATTCAGAAATGTCTAAAATGGCAATAAAAAGAGACAATGCAATACTGAAACATTACGAATGTCCCTATCTAATAGAAAGTTATAAATGTAAAATAATATACCAACTATGATTGTTATTTAAATAGATATTGGAGCAACCTTATCATGTTTCTTCCAACCCCTCCCCACTCAGTCACGCTTGTATCACCTGACAATGGCGATAAGGACGGTGTGTAAGTCTATTTATCGTTAAGCGAAAATGGACGTGAAAACAGCTTTAATGAAGTGCAAAACCTCTCTAGGAAGATTTGTAAATGTATTGGCTCGAATACCGTTCTTTTATTTCCTCGAAATTGTTTACAACTTCACATCAAAATCGGATAACTCCACATTTCTAGGAGCTGTTGGTAAGCTTGTAACTTACATGTCTCTAGAGCTATCGATCATTTAACTTAAGTATAGAGGATCTTACCTTATTTTACGGCGAAATGCCATATTTCTTCGTCGATTTTATTCATAAAGTATATACTGTTAGCAATTAGAAGTTTAGTCTTCCATGTAATTTAGAGAAAAAAGTGGATGTTTGTCGAACGTGTTTCTACTCATGTTTTATATCAAATTTCTTGAAATCCTTGGTGATTTCCACGAAGTCATCATTTTCTGTCTTATGGCTTTTTAATATGGCTTATATTTAATATTTTACAAGTTAAACATATATTTTTACCACTGTGGATGTATATTTTTGAATTTTATCCAAAGTTAAGCTTAATGTTTATTCGTCCTATTTTTTTAACATTTCTTTCCACTGTTAACTTAAATTCTATAAGCTTAGTTTTCATTCAAAATACAGATTAGAAATGTATGTTTCTCTGTTATCTGTTATTCAGTTAATATCATATTAAGAAAAAATTTAGGTTTTGCAATCATTTTATTGTGATCTCTCAAGTTTGCTGAATTTCTAKGGAAYGAAGTATCATAGTTGGTTGAAATATGAAACCATGTCTGGAAATGAAAACATCTTGAATGACCTCTAAACTTCAACTGATAYCATTAACCAAACATTTTTCCTTCAAAGTGCTCTCTAGTTCTAATAACGTTTACAGTTTTTCAATAATTATACTCACAAAAMATTGGAGCGTTGGAGAATTTTTTCAATACGACTGTTAACACTGAGCTCAGTTAGACTTCTTGTTTTGTCTAGGCTCATTGCTCTAGTAACATTCTTGCACAATCAAAATTTGAAAATGACCCAAAATATCATATATATTGAGGATGTTGATGTTTTATGTTTAATAACTTTAAATACATGTAATGTCTTGGCTTTAAAGGGTAATTAGGGTATATTGTCTCTAGGGAATACAAATATTATTTCTTCAAACAAACTCTGCACTGATAAATGAATTTTTAAGTGGCCAAATGATGGTTTGTTTTGTCAAATTATCAGAAACTTGAGGTACTATTATTTTTAAAAACCAAAAGAGTGTGGAATTTGAAGAAGAAAGGTGTTTTCATTTTAAATGTCTTCAGAATAAAATACTAGAACTTTTATAATGCATGTGCAATGATTGTAGAAAGTCCAATCATTGAATAACATTCGTATCACTGCAGAGACCTACATGTACTTCTAGAGAGAGGTTCATTTTGAGACACRTTTGTTTTGAGACAGGTCTTTATAGACTCGCTGGCGGTGGCCTGCTGATTACATTATGTAAGGGACAACCTCTCATGAATAACATGAGAGACAATTAGTTTTCTAATCATCTGTCAATTAATTATGGATGAGGGACAATTGGACCTTTATTATATTCACGAGGGGCCAAGGACAATGGCTCCTGCAGTGGTATGATTGAGAATAACTGATGGCTTTTGAGTGAGGGTTGTTATTGTGTGATATTAACATTATTTTAATGTTTTTTTTAGGATATGCAGTTGGTCTTATTGGTTTATTTACAGAGCTTGATCTTCTTTTGTCGTTTTATGGATGGCTTATTCAAGTAGTCATAGCTTTTATTATGTATACTCTCGTTCATGAAGTCAAAGGAACTTCACAACTTGCTAACGACCAAGCTGAACCTTCACCTGGWTATTTTCAGTTGTTTGTGAGTGACAACCATTTTTATGGGCAAGTAATTGCAGCTACAGGACTTACAGTTGCAGCTCAGGAGCAATGGACAGAACTCAATCCTGTCTGGATTATAACATTAATGCTTACGATTCCTTTTGGTGTTGCCTTGACGTTTAAATCAATACACATTACATCACTTTTAGCGCCTTATATTTGTTATATATTTCTGTTCATTTATGCATCATACTTGTCGTACAAAGGTCTGAAACTTGCTGCTAAGTTTCTTAAAAGTACCAAAGAAGCAAGTGACAATTTTTGGAGAATGGTCGATGGTTATGGTTGGATTCCTGTCTTTCAGTTCCACTGGAGAAGACTTGAATTGTCAMGAGTAATCATGTTTTTATGGTGGATTAAGTTTGGATTGAGAGTTTCACAACAAAAAGAACTCAACTGGTTCTTGACATTTGCAAGTTTTGGCGATACATGTGCAGTATTACCAAACCTGTTTGCAGCAAGCATGGTTATTTCTGAAATATCATTTAGTATTTTATTATTCATTCAAAACAGTTTGCAAGGTAATCATGTTGACTTCAGTGAACCGTACCTTTTCCCTGGATTTAATGAAGGACTGGCTTTCTTCCTCTTAAACATTCAAATTGGAATCAATAATGGAGGAACCGAGCACCGTTCGCTTGTAGTTAGCTTAGTTCTTTTTGTAACTTTATCATTGCTAGTGCAAGATGTTCTGGAAATTACTGAACCAGTATTAGCTGTACTTGGTGCTACATACACTGGTAAAATGAACTCAAAACATGTTAAAGTATTTATAGTAGTAGTGAGTTTATTTATAGTACCAGGCAGTCTAATATATGTACTTTGTTCAACGTTCTCACCTGGAACATGGCTGTTTATCATTCTATCAAATAGCGTTGTCACTATGGTACAACTGGCTGGATCACTTAGCATCTTTTTGATATTTATTGCTAATGTACACTTTAGTTTTGGGTGGAGAGACTTAGATGACTGTGTATACTATGTCAATGCTATATCTAAAGTCTTTGAGTTCCTGGTTGCAGTTGTGGTGGTATTCTACAGTGTGGTATCTGCATTAGCTGGAAATTGGAGTGTTATAGGTAAGCTAAAACTACAGCATTAGTATTTCCTAAACCAACTTGCAACTAAACATAAATTTGCAAACAGGGAGACATACAAAGACACATGGAAGAATCAGATCCTTACTCCCTCCCCCCAAATAAAAAACTATTTGCGAACTGTATACATCTGATGACCTGATACATGTCAATACACACAAGCAACTCCCTGTGTTTTTTGGGCTTTCTTTGTAACAGCTGAGAGTCTGGGAATATCCCAAACGTTTTGATATGTCACTTTTGTTTGTATTTTCCAGGTACTGCCATTATATTTGTACATGCTTACTTCAATGTATATACTCGTGCCATGGACGGCTGGAATAACTTTTTACAAAGACGAAGTTCCATAAAGAGAATCAAGTCTATGCAATCAGCCACAGAGGAACAACTTCAAGAACTCAATGATGTCTGCTCGATATGTTTTGACAC